ACGCACGCACGCACGCACCACACCACACACACACACACACACACACACACACACACACACACACACACACACACACACACACACACACACACACATCTATACACGCTGCGCTAGCTGCGCGCCACAGGTACTTGGACCGTTTCGATTATAAAATCATAGTAAATTTAAGTGCTTTTGTGAGTTACTCAGTGGCGTGTGTACGCACGCTAAGATTCTATTATGCAAAATAAAGTAAATAAACAGAAAAGTTTCGGAAGTACACATAAAAGCTATTTATTTACTATCATTTTATTATTGAAACGGTCCAATTGCCTGCGGTGTGCTGGAAGGGAGCGGCGCTGCTCCGGGTACAGAGCTGCGCTTCGTCTGCGCGTCCTGTATGGCGAGGCTAGGGCGATCGCTCCCGCGGGACCACGCAGCTACGTTTGAATTCAGCTTTTTTAGCCCGGGCCTGCGTATCGAGTGACGCAACGCGATCGGCGGCCCGAGACGCACGCAGGGTACGGTCGGCTGCTAGCGCCGGGCTCTGACGTGCAGGGTGCGTGGCATAGGACGTCCTATGCCATCGTGTACTAGCTGATGACATCTCTCTTCAGTCGTCAGTGATCATTGTTAAAGGTGAACACGCGTGAAAGCTAGCGGAAAACAACTAACTATGAAAAACAGCAACAGCCGCTGCGAGATACTACTCACTGTTCGTCAATCCGACTGTGTGAGCCTTCGTGACTGGTGCTGCGGTCTGTTTAAAAAAAATATTATTCGCGACACATACAACAGTTCTCCATTGAGAACAAAATGACTGCCGTGACCGCCATTGATAGCCGAGTACCGAGAAAATAGGTTTTTTCCTCCTGTTGGAAACCTGTAGGCCTAATCGTGGGAACCTATTTCCCCTACAACGATGAAGAAAATATTTGTCTGCATCGATTGCACGGCGTGGAGACTCGGCGCAGACTAGCGCCTTCCTGGCGATCGGCCATGTTTTCCTAGAACGGAGTAGACGTTTCAGCGACAGCACGTCGACGTCTGCCATCAAGTGCAGTTCGGGTTACGCGCACACACCGGTGCAATGATTAACTCGCATCCTTTAGATAAACGAAACTTAATTAATAGTTTTATAGCACTTTAAATAGATTCCGAGCGCATAAAGAAATTGAGGAAATACTTTATGGTGCGGTTGTATAAATTAGTGAATACTCTTTAGTAGTGCCAACGCGGCGGGTAAGAGGACCGGAGAATCTTATCAAAATTCTCGAGTTTGTTGATAACAGCTATAAGAATGTAAATAGTGTTTATAAGAAGATGCCGTGCGACTATCCAACGTCTTTTTTCATTTCCGCATAAAGATCGGAACGATGTAGTTTGCTTAATGACGAGCAAATATATACGTATAATATATATATGTATATGTTAGGATGAATTAATGTACGGCGCAAAGCTCGAGTGCGAGCGATAGACCCTATAAATTTGCATGGAATATTGATTGTATAGCAGAGATGGAGTGCGCACGATTTAGTATGGAGACGTCGCCAGCAAACGTCATGGCTAGTGACAAATACCTCCTAATGGTCAATATTCGGATATCCATAAATTCGGACAGGTATGCACATACGCATACACGAGCTCACACACGCATACACGCGCGCACACACGCATACACGCGCGCACACACGCACGCATACACGCGCGCACACGCGCGCGCACACACGCATACACGCGCGCACGCACGTATACACGCGCGCACACACGCATACACGCGCGCACACACGCATATACACGCGGGTGCAACACGCATGCGCGCGCTCTCATACGCGCAGGCGAGGACGGATACATACATCCGCGTGTACACGCATACATACTGAGACGTTCGCACGCACACCAAATCACAAGGGAGTGCAGGCTTGCGGGCTTATGCCGAATTGCACACAGTATCGACCGCAATGTTATTGCAGTTGTTTTTTTCAGTCAAGTGGTGACATTATTCCAGTTTCTTTATACGTTTCCACGGGCAGAATTCACGGCGCACGCTGCGAAGTTTTTGCACCTAAAAGGTTTTCTCGGGTGCAGTGGAGAGACCCGCCTATAGGTTACGCTGAAAATGTTTGCGGCGCCGAGTAAACATCTCTGGCTTATCTAAATACAGCCGACTGTTTATATGTATCACCAATGATGACGGCCAATGAACGTTAAACAGACGATAGGCAGCATAGTGAAGCGCGTACGTACGTAGACCAAGCTTGACTCTCTGTTCAGATATAATTTGTACATGCATATAGTGCGCATGCACGTAGGCACCAATTCCATGTAATCGTACAGAACCTGTACATGCACGTTGCTTTTCTATTAGCATCATATTCTCCATGTCTTTCAATTGTATTCGTAGTTTCTAATTAAACGTTTTATACATTAATAATATGTTGTATTATACCTTTTTATCTGCTGCATGATTCTGCGTCTAACGATAACATAAACATACATACAACATACACATAAACAACAAGCGATACGAATTCTCTACTTCATTGCATGTTTATAAACAATATAGAGTTTCATCGGTACACCACTAGCCACATCTAGACAGAACCCGCGTCTAAAACGAAACTCTACAACGCGACTACTTCGTTGCACTTCTGAAGCCACCGTTCCCACCCCACTGCTCAGACGCGATAAGAAAATGACACACGCTCGCACCCACGCGCACGCATTAGGAGACAACTCCTACATTACGTCAGCAGAGATCAATCCCCTGGGGGAAGAGCGTTTTCCACGCCCTCTTCCGACAACCATTCAGTTTTTTGTCTTCGTTGCCACAAACCCCGCCGCGCCACACAATGCCCGAAAAAACACATCGCCATTCCGGTTGGCTGCCGGGTTCGCAACAATGAAAGTGCACTGTCGCGACACAGTGCCTTACACAAATCGTCCCTGATCTCGTGTTCCCTTGTCGCGTTATGGGGCAAGATGCGGGTCTTGGTTGCCCAGCGGATGGAGGGAAAGAAACCATCGCCTGCTCGTACGCATGCGGCACCTCGTAACGATCTCTCGAAGATGTTTATCCGTCGATACGTCCGGTATTCGGTTACGAACAACGATGCACGGCAAAAACGCGGGGAGAGAGCAACGCGTTTGTCCGATGATTCAGTTCTGACAGCGTGCGCATGCCTTTTTCGCCCCTTGTGAAACCGCCTGTAGTGGGCACACCCCTCTCACACCGGGTTCACGACGAGTGGCCTGCCGCCTCGAATATCTTGACCGTCGTGTCCGCGCCGCCACTGATCATGTGATCGGGCACCGACCAATCACAGCAGAGAATCTTATTCTCGTGCCCGGTCATGTTGAATAAAGGTACGCTGGTGCTGAAAGCAAGCATGTAAAGCTTGTGGTAGTTAACCTGATATGGGTGCAGGACTAAACGTCTATACTGCCTGTGAAAGGTCAAATTAAAACTATAATAACTTTTATGAAAATAAATAAAGAAATAGATAATAGAATAAAAAAATATAAATGCACCACTAAGATAACTAACAAATCTTCTCTTACCTTCTAACATCCCACAGCTTAAGCAGGTTGTCATAGGAACCGGAGATGAAAAGATTGGTGTCATTGGGACTCCAAGAGACGCAGGAGACCCATCCACTGTGCGATGTATATGTCGATTTCACTGCAGTGCCATCTGTTGCCCGGAATAAACATTATTACCATTATTAACCACCAGGAAATCGTAATGACAAAGCTGTTAGGGAGAGAACGCAGGCGTATGGTACTGGTCTCAGTCAAACTGGATCAATGGAAGTTGTCTAGGTCGCATAGTGGGGTGCAGCCTCATACAAGGGAGGACCAAAGATCTGGTGGGAAGACAGCAAGGCAGGAAGATGCCAAGCGAGGAGGATTCCAATGCAGGGAGACAGGATTCTTGCCCTCTCGTTGCCTGTGCCGAACAATGGCAAATTTAGCAATTTTGACCCCCACCAAGCATTAGGGCATTTTTATGCAGAGCAGAGATGAAGCATGTGTGAAACACCTACCAGGCACACGTACGTCCCACAGTCGTACGTGACGGTCGGCTGAGCCAGAGAGCAGAAGATGACTTGATGGCGACCAGGACAGATTCAGAAGCACTTTCGCTCCTGGCTGTAACACGTGCACAATTATAATACAGATTTTACCCTTCCACGATTATGTTGCTCCACCTATTGTAATTTGTAAGCAATTTACTTTAAATAAAAAACTACAAATATAGCTACTTATAATCACCTGCAGCCACGTGGCGCTATCTATTGTGAAATGTTTCAATTAAAACTAGTCAATTCCTAATTCAAGAATATAACTTCAGCCAAAACACACAGCACTACATAAGTAAGTGGTAGGAAATTACAATCACAAATCATCCATGGACATCATTGCTATCAAACCAAGTGCTCCATATAGAGGCTCACTTTGAGACACACACACAACTTCTAATTTGAATATCGAATGACGATACAGAAGGGCCATTATATGTCACATATGGCTACGATCATGGCTATCTAAGCTTTCCACTAATTCTAACTATAAACCTAGCCCAAAAACAACACTAACTCTAATCCTAACCACTATCCTAAATCTATCCATAACCATAACAGTAGTCAAAACCCTAACAATATCTCTAAGCATGACCCTACGATAATCAACGTTATGGGTTCTCCAGGGCTAGCACACTGGAGCCCAGCGAGGAACCCCCGGGACAACTCCATCTTACCAGGGTGAGTTTATTGGCGCCACTCTCCAGGTCCCAGGTGCGGATGGTGTGATCCCACGAGCCTGTGCACACCTCGCCGGTGTCCGTCCACACGATGCTCGATAGTGACTCTTTGTGGCCGGCTAGCGTTAGCAATGGCGTCTGCAAGGCAATGTTTGCAGGCTAGCCTCAGAGTTTTTGCTGGTGTTCAGCAAACGCAGCGTCGAGGATGTACGATCTATCTTGTACCACTCGTGAGTGATGCTCCACTCACACGTGTGTGTGCCTGTGTGTGTATGTGTGTGTGCCTGTGTGTGTATGTGTGTACGTTCACAATTTTATTAGTGAAATACATCATGGACGCTGGGAGACAACTCAATAAAATATGTGACTGTTCGTCTAAAGACACCATGTGAAAACCGAGTCATGCAGCAGTGTACTCATACCCTTGTAACGGATTTCTGTTGGTTGGTTTTCAGCTTCTTCTGTGATTGCTCATGGTCGTCTGGTTCTCCTGAGCCCCCTTCGTCCTCACCTGTAATCAGGATGTTATTTAACACACACGTTGTATGTTCTGATCAAGGCTCTTTATTAAGATAATCATTTCCATTTTTTGATTAATCAAGAACTCATTATTCCTCATGATATTTATAGGGCTCTTAGCACTTACTTATTCTAGTAAAATATGGATATCTGTAGGTGGAGGTAAAATATTGTCCAGAAGGCAATGGCCAACCACTGCAGTATCTTGTACAAAGATTCAATAGAGAGGAAGGTGAACCCGAAAAGAAGGTGGAGGCTACAGCTCCATGATTACCCTCACTGCCTCTGATGTTTTTTGTAATGCCATTATTCTTGGTAATGAAGAGTGTACCTCTACTACTTCTAGAATACTAACTATTGCTAGCGCTGCTGTTGCTAGTGCTGCAGTTCCTACTGCTCTTGCTACTCTACAATGAACAGCTTGCTAACAGACATGCTGATTCTCACCAGTAGACCAGATCTTCAACATTCCATCCCAGCATCCACTGGCGAAGCGGGTGTGGCTGGCATCAACTTTGACGCACTCCACACTGCGCGTGTGTCCGCGACACACATGTGCACATTCAATCGAGTTCTTCTGCCGGTCCCACTGCCAGATCATTAGCGTCTGATCATGGGAGGCGCTCACAAACTGCCCACCATTCTCATCTGCGAGCAACCATGGAATTAGCTCAACTGGCATCACAAATTGCAAGGCAATTTGCGGATATTGTGAACCATATGCTAACTTATATCATCATAACTCCAATTCACGAAAGAACAATCTCGTCTGTCGATGACAAAAGCATAAAAAAGAGATTGTTTGCCACACACCACCACACTGCGATCAGAAAGGACACAACCACCATGGGTATCTAATTAACTAGGACTCAAGGTATTCTCTCAACGATAGAAATGGACACTCAGAATCGATATCAGTTAATCTATTACATCTAGTAACAAGTAAGATGGCTTAGCAATCTTTCAGAGAGTTGTTAAAGCTAGGCTAATTCCGGTGAAATGTCTGATCTAGGCAAATAAAAATTACACAGGTTAGCTGAATGTTTAAAATTCTCTCCATCACAAAGCTATAATGTAATTTAACCATGTTTTCTAACCAGAACAATCGGGACAGATGCATAATGCCAAACATGTCAGGTAGGACATGAAAAGTACGAGCATGAGGATCATGTAAATACACTACACACCATGAGATATCCAATCCACTGCCTTCACAGGACCGAGATGGCCAGGAATGGTCATGAGGTGTGAGCCCTTCGGTGTCCATAAATGTATCGTATTGTCATAGCAACCAGTTAATATTCTGTACCAATGGCAGAAAAATACAAACTATTTGTAAATGATAAACAATATTATTGGACACAAAGAAAGGATTTGCAAACGCTGTGTGACGTGCGAAAAATGTATATACTATGCTATTAGCAAACCCTATGCTGCTAAAAAATAAAATTATTTTAGCAGAAAAAACTGAACAGTACCACAAATCTGGGATGATAAAATCATCCGATTCTTTAGATTAATTTGAATACACCGACCTGGTCACATTTCTCCAACATGAAGACACGTTAATAATGCGAACGAAGTAGCTAACGTTAAATGACAAAGCACAAGAATGCGATCAAAAGGACTGATGGCATTCAAAGTTCAAGAAAATGGAAATACGGAAAATAGTTTTACATAGAAATTACAGATTATTTTTTATGAAAATCAGTGACGCTTCAATGTTAATTAAACGAATGAACAATGAATGGAAATACGTCTACTAACAAGTCTGGCGTTGACTTGACAGCGCTGACCCAGTCGTCGTGCTTCAGACTGTCCTGCGGTCTAGGTGCCGGTGTCTGCTCCACATACTCCACCTCCAATACAGTCTCCTATAATTCATACCAGCATTCAATTGAAATAAGTACTCAGTCACAATCTGTACACCATAACAATTTTTGACATAATCTATCAGCAACTGTTAACATTCACCTTATTTATCACAATATGTATATTGGGATCGCTACAAATATCAGAAAAAGACCAAGGTTGTATGTAAGTTAGATATGAGTCTGACTATCATCCCTATTTAGAATCCAAACCGAGGTTATAAAATTGTCAATTTAAAAGCAAATAATCATATATTTACCTTACTTTCACAATGACCATAATTTTTCATCAAAACTGACTTAGACAATAATTTCACTTAAAACATTTTGACGAACACCTAGCTGTTAGGGTTAGGGTCCCAAGAAAACCATGAGAAAACTTGTATTTACTGTAGTCAAGCCCTTGCTTTCAATATGCTCAGTCAAGTTGGTCCTTAAGAATTCGCCATTGTGCAAAAAATCGAAATTAAGCTTCTTCCATTCAGTCTCCACAAAGTCTGAAACAAATACCATGATTTCTAAATTATCAAAGTGTATAAAATTAAACAAATATGAAGTCTTGTACACACATATACATGCAAATTCATGCACACATTTCGCACGCACCACCATCACATGCACGCATCACACACACGCACACGCACACGCACGCACGCACGCACGCACGCACGCACGCATGCACACACACGCACACGCACACGCACTTGTTTTACTCTTACCTGCTTTTAGAATCCCATTTAAAAGTTCATTTAGTTCTGTTGTTCCCACGTTCACAGGTAGCGAATAAGGAATATCTTGTATGGCATACCTAAACATAAACATAAATGGCATTCTCTGACTTGTGGCAGGCTTCTTTATGTTATTCTAGGTGTAATTATTAATGCAATCTCAATTGAATATACTACGCTGTAACATTGGATAATTAAACCTTAAATCTACATGTATGTACATGTTAAATATATAGACTTGTGTCGTGTGACACATATTACCGAGCAAATGTGTGAAGTTGCATGCTACACATTTAATGATTTACTTAGTGCTTTAGGAGCTTTTCAATTAGGTCTATCGGGGCCAGGCCCCTACCTATGTTGCGCAAACCGGACGCGCCCGCCCCGCTTGGGAAAACTCCCCCCACCCATTTCAATCGTTGCGCCACGTTTAAATTACCTCCGCCCCGATTAAATTCCACCACCCGGATAGGAAATGTTATCGCCGAATTGAAATACACTATTTTCAGCGGAGTTTCAGCGTGACAGTTCAAAATAAAAGTTTCACAGCGCGGGAATCGATCGTTAGTTGATGCCGCCATTTTGCGAGCAGTAACCTAAGCACACTTGTGTGCTTTGCTGTGATTGGCTGGTCACCATCACTGCTAAGCCAATCAGCAGAGAGCTCTATTAAACAGTTCACACATGCGCATAATCAAAAACTACATGAGAAACAGGCTGAGTGAGTCAGCTTTAGAGGTGCTGCTGCTACTGGCAATTGAGGGGCCACCTCGGCAAGAATTCCCATTCGACCAGGCAGTTGACCGTTGAGCTGCCATGCGACAGAGTCGAGTAGATGTGACAAAGTAGAGTCACAGTGGATGAATCATGACATTGATGATGAAGTTTTACAGAAAAGATCCTGCTTATTGCAATACATGTCAATAAATGATACATCCACTAAACTGATGCCTTGTGTTAGGTTCATTTTTATGTACTTGCCCGAAAAAATTACAAGTTGCCTTCAAGTTCTCTTATAGTTATCCCATAAACCCTAGTTTAAAAACAAAAAATATAAAAAATGACACACCAGATCAGAGAAAACAAATCAACTCAAACATGTCCCAAAATGCCGCAGAATGCACCACAGAGCATCTAAGATTTCAACATTTTCCGGGGGGCATGCCACCGGACCCCCCTAGTTTTTGCTCGCTGCACTCGCACGTTCCTTCCCCCTGTTTCAATTTCATCCTGGAGAGAACCCTGGGGGTAGCCGGGGGCCTTCGCTCATGCTGCATGCGCTTATACTACAAACTATGACGAGGAACTAAGACGAATTTTTACAGCGTGGCCGGCAATGCTGTAGTCAGTGGCACAATTACAAATCACAATAGCCTGCAAGTTGCAACATAAACTTGTATTCTTTAGCCAGCCAGATAGAAATTCACATTTAAATCACAATAACATGACAAAATTGGCCTCTTCATAAAATGCAAACAATCGCACGACCAAAGCACACGTCCATATATAGTGGTGCTCCTACTTTCCAAAGAGGGGTGGATGGTGCTTTGGGAGGGGGGGGGAATTAAACCAATCATTGTGTTTAACTACTTTCCAAATGTATTACTGTAATGATTATGTATATCTTGTTGCATTTTAATCAAGTGATCACTATAAGCAGTCGACTGACCTCCTCTTTACAGCTACTATTACGAGCGCAGCACCACAATCGTTTCAATTCAAATATGGATGTGTGATTTTGTCATGCAATCGGTGTGTTGTATACATGGCAATGGGAAAATTTGATCATGTTATTGTGATTTAAAAGGAAATTTCTACCTGGCCGGCTAAAGAATACAGGTTTATCATGTTGCAGGATCGTGTGCTTTTTTAATTATTGTACCACGAACTAGTCTACAGACTAAACTACACTACTAGTACTACGGTGCAAATCCACTTTAGGCACCTTAGATATCACGAAGTGATGCACAGATTTCTGTGTATCATCAACTGATGCACAGAATTTCCGTATATCAAGGAATGATGCAAAAACCCTAACCCTAACCCTAACAGTAACACACTTTGTGATACCTAAGCCTAAGGAGTAAGGTTATACTTTATGACTTAGGGTTAGGGTTAGGGTTAGGGTTAGGGTTAGGGTTTTTGCATCATTCCTTGATATACGGAAAGTTTGTGCATCAGTTGATGATACACAGAAATCTGTGCATCACTTCGTGATACCTAAGGTGCCTAAAGTGGATTTGCGCCTAGTACTACTACTACTACTACTACTACTAGTACTACTACTACTACTACTACTACTAGTACTACTACTACTACTACTACTACTAGTACTACTACTAGTACTATACTACAGCATTTACTAATTTAGTTGCCAGCCACGCTGTAAACATTCTTCTCAGATTTTCGTCATAGGTTGTAGTATAGCCCTGTAGCGAGAGCGAAGGGGCTACACCGATAGAGCTACTTTAGAACTGTGTTGTTATCATCAGTCACACTCAATTTAAACGTTGTTTTGTCAAGTGCCTCCGCTACTGGCTACTGGCCAGTGGCCTGTGGCAGTGCCACTGCCATCGGCATCGGCACTGCCAGTCGGAGTCCGTCGTGGCGCAGATAGTTTGGGGGAATTGATTTACATATTTGTGCTAATTGGTGAGACAAAGCTGACTACCTGACTACATAACTATGTTATCGGCATAAAATCTATAACAAATAATACGTACTGCTGTTGTTTAGTAAAGAATTTTACTTGAATATGTGCTACAGCATTTTCGTCGGTCTCCATGCTTGCGTTTACAGCGGCATCTCGCGGTAATTTTATCATACAATATTTATATAAAAACCTTTACTTTACCTTTAGCCTTTTGGAGAAAAAACTAAGTCGACACCGGCTTCTGTAATTCAGTTTCATATTGTTATATATTAGTGTATGAGATGTATTTAATATTTAACCAGATCTCTGCAATAAAGTACCTTTCGCCTCCGGCACCTCCGGACCTTTCGGACACTAGTACCCTAGAATGGCGTCGCTATTCTTCTGTGATGTACCGTAAGCCATCGACTAACGGAACCCAGGATAGCATACGCGTGTAGTTTTGTTTACCCTGTCGACCAGGTAGCAACGAGCAACGAGCAAGCCGGACAAGCCGAGCAAGGAGCCGAGCAACGAGCAAGCCGAGAAGGTGAGTATATTCGATATAACGTATAGAATTCGATTCGTATACGTATATAACGTATCATATACGGCCAAATTATAATATATGATATAATAAATATTAGTGGGTGGTATAAGAATAATGAACCTATAATGAGCTCATCTTGTAAAAGCTAATAGGAACTGTTCATGCTTATTACGAATTGTTTCCTAAATCAGAAAACAACTCAGTCAACTGTACTTATAAGTTATAGTTATAACTTATAATTATATTACCCTGACAACTCCGCATGTCTGATGTGATCTGTTGGATAGACTCCTGATCTGTTACTACTACTACTAATACTAGTGAGTAGTGTTAGTGTTACTGTCACTTACTGTTAGTATTACTATTTACAATTACAATCCAGTATTGTGTGAGTTAGGGACAATGTGCAATTGTCTATAGGTTAGTGTCACTGTTGAAGTGTAGCGTCACCTGTCATATCATACGACACCTGCTCAAAGAAACATGTCATTACCATTAATTATAACTTATTTGACATTTCAAAATTAGATAAGAATAATGTCACGAAGTACTCCCTGGAGACGAGAGGTCAATGATATACTCAGGAAATACCAGAACGATGCACTGACCTCTACCTTTTACATCCTGAGAGAAATCGGGCCTACAGGATTTGTCGTAAAGCAGGAGGGAGCTGAGAAGCATTTGAAGTTAAGTGATTATAATCGTACTATGAATTGTATGTAAACGTAAATATATTGAAATGTATACGTATGAATTGTAGGAATAGGTATCTGAACTTATTAATTTTACCTCAGATAATTATGTATAATCATTCTATTGTTAGGTACTTATATTTATGTGAATCAAACTTATTACTGCAGGTTTACATTGGAGACCCACACCACTGTAGTTGCTCTACATACCAAAAGGAACAGGAGCTATGTATTCACATCTGCTGGGTGTTGCTCAGGAAATTTAAACTGACCAAGGAAAACCCACGTTGGTGATCAATACCCCTGCGTCTATAAATATAGTAAATATATGCTTAGCCACACAGACTTGACACAAAGTTTACAGACATTGAAAGAATAGTGATTATAGTGCCCCAATTTTTTAACACCTTTTTAATGATTTCTCAAGGTTTCAACATTCGTTTTTGCAGTGAGTTTCCAGCGCGGCCTTGTTGAACGGGAGATCACAGCTCTGCTACACGAATGCACCATACAAACGAAAAATGTGAAGTCTTCTGATGCAGCCAGGCACACGGATGAAACTGCAAGTGGGCAACAAATCCTGGAGCAGAGAGACATCTCGCAGGATGATGTGTGCCCAATTTGTCAAGAGAAACTGCTTGCAAAACATGTCCCTGTCACTTACTGCAGGTGATATCTCTTGTATCCTTTGTTTGATTGAAATATTTTCATACCCATTAGGCCAAAAAATGAAAATCTTGATCTACAGAGGAAGAGTGACTGGATTTAAACTATATTTTTAGTATTTGAGAATAGTAGATAGTTGTTTTCTGTCTTATCTATAAGCTCTCATGGGTTTGGATAAAAAACATGGCAAATAAATAAATGTGTACTCATTTGGCATGAATTCAGTAAACTAGACTAGCATATCCAACAAATTCAGTAAATATCAAATTTTTCAATTTTTCTATGTACGCCACCTTCTACTTGTGCAGATTTGGGTGTGGGAACAGCATTCACATAAAGTGCATGAAAGTTTGGGCGGATCACCAGAAGTCTACTGGTGAGGTGAGAGTCCACTGCCCTCTCTGCCGTGAAGATTTTGGCCCTTTGCAGTATCTGGAGCAGGAACTTAGGTGTGTGTGTGAGTACATTATGTAACAACAGAGGACCCATCGACAAGATGTCTTGACACTACACAAACAAAACGACCAATAGATGCAAACAATATGCGAAAAATAATATAAATAGGTATCTTCAGACATTAATATCTCCTCACAATGTAATCAAAATTAAGTCTGTGCACTTAGAGCAACAGGCATCATCCTGGACCACTCAAGAGAATTTAATATACGATTATAAGTAGTGATGTCCCGATGATCGATTATAATCGAAAATCGATCGATTATAGTCTCAAATTCGATAATCGATTATGAAAACAAATAATCGATTATCGAAAATGCAAAAAAAAAAAAAAAAAATTAACAAAATTACTAAATCGCAACATGGACATGTATTGGTAGCGAAGTAGAAGTGCATCAGTGTGTAGTCCAGAGGACACCATGAATCTCTGTTAACATAGGTCCTGTCTGATTGCAGAGCGGTACTAGTGTACTTATAGACATGGACAAATTGGACAGTGTCTTTGTTTTGGTTTGACACTGTCCCACAGATGTTATCCGTAGATGAGATTCTACTCTCCGTAAATTGTTTGTTACATTATGTTGGAGAGGATATTCCATTGGCAGCTAGGACATTAACTCGGCTACACAGCCTACACTATTAGAACACAAACAACTTACTTCCTATAATAAAGAACAAGTCTTGATCATGTTTGTTTAAAACTTTTAACGTTTTAATAAAGGCATTTAAACCATTTCTTTTTAAATTGATTAAATACCGGTACTGTATAGGAACAGACATTATAAGTGATATTACACTTGTCTTCTTCATAAATTCAACTTGATTGCAAGATTATAAACGACAATTACTTTACCTTTTATGAATTTTTGTGACTGAGTATATACTCTAGCAATGGAATCAGAAGACAGAATGAATAGGATTAGTGAGAAATTCATGACTTTTATTGGTGTATTTGGTTTACAATAGGAACTCTGGGCCATTGTCTAGAAGAAATCGACTGACAGCATTTAAATGTAGAGGGTGTGACATTCCAATCACTGGAACATGCTACAGGTAGTTATGAATGATTACCATGTACATGGTATGTATAATTGGCATGCACGTGCACATGTACACATATAGTATACATGCATGCTCATGCCATAGTTCTACTTATTGCGCGTAATACATAGTGTTGGATATAAATACACGCACGTGTATGATCTTTATTGTTTCAGTATTATACTTCATCTATTCTCTGCAATATATACTTGGATTTTTTTGGTATTTTCTTCAGGTGCACAGTTTGTTCCGAGTATTATGCATGTGAGCTGTGTTTCTTAGCCCAGCATCACAGTGAGCACGACTTCACCCATAGACAGGTATAGCTATATATGTATATATAGGTGTAGGACTGTAGGTGAAGGTGTAGGTAAATAGCTATGGGTGTAGGTGTAAGTGCTAGGTGTAGGTGCAGGTTTGGTGTATGTATATATGTATAGGTATATGTATATGTATATAGTTACAGGTGTAGGTGTAAGTGTAGGTATATGTATGTATATGTATATAGTGACAGGTGTAGGTGTAAGTGTAGGTATATGTATATAGTCATAGGTGTAGCTATAGGTATATTTAATCTCGATATGAATTGCAACATATTTCAGAAGCACAACCAGCGCTGGCGCTGTGCTGTGCGTAGTTCTGGAGCAGTGCTGCCACCTGCTGTCATGGAGAACCTTTCTGGGAGAGATCTTGTGGAAGATGACTACGATCTTCTCCTACAGCTAGCGAGGTGCTGTTAAAACCAGGACCACTTCTCAAGTTCCTATCGGCATATTTATGGTTATGATGCAACATCTTTTTAGTGCAAGTCCTTTCCAATTGAAATTCCGAGATCATATCTCATGCTCTTGCTTCTAGCTCTCAGCCCGGCAGACTACTGACAACAGAAGAAGTTGGAAGGTTGTCCGTGAGTACAACAACTGCGAGGGGTCACCTTCTGCAGCCAGGGATGCAGTGTAGAGTCTGTCTGCGGCCCTTCCTCGCTGGCCACCGTGTCCGCACCCTGCCATGTGCTCATGTGGTGTGTAGTTTTTCCTTAGATTTCACATTGATTTTAAGTAATCATATTGAACTGTATTCATGGGAGTGCTGGTCAAATGAAACGCATAGCGCTCGAAAAACAAAACCCATTGTTGATGTCATCATGATTTATCACATTCTTAATTACCATTTGCAAAAGTTACATAAAGAAATTGTGACCTGGTGTGATAATATATGTTCACTTTTTAGCTCATCTGACATAGTCAGATGCAGCTTGTAGAATCGCATGATCGTCCGTTCGTCCGGGCGTCCGTCCGTCCGTCCGTCCGTCAACAGTTGGGCACAAATCTTAACCGCTCGACGTACGGTCACGATATTCGGGACGTGGGGGGGTAATCCGAAAACGAGTTGGGATGTCGAAGCTGGGGGTCAAAGGTCAAAGGTCAAGAGGTGTAAAATAAGGGGGAACATTCACCCCTTAACTTAAGGTATAGGGAGGAAATGCATAATTGCGGCACAAATCTAAACGGCACTCGAACCTAGGCCTCGTGAATAGTCGTGTAAACATGCATGGTAAGCGAAAAGCCATCACTGTGGCCGAAATTGGCAGGTCACCACGATTCCACAAAGGTCAATGGCACAGGGCAGATTATTAGAGCATTTTCTGAGGACATGGTTCTGACGGAGGATTGAAAACTTTTTTGTTTCAGCGGTGACCTAGCATTTTATGGCTTTATTGAAAGGACCATGAAAATATGCTTTCCACTGACGTGGCGAAGGGTAAGTGTTGGATAACCTTTTTGAAACCGCTAAAGGAGGGTTAAACATTGATTTGTTGACTGTTTAACAAAGGACTGGAAGCTGGCTTTTGCTATTAAATTACGAGCCCAATACCTGTGTCATGTGAGGCTTACAGTTGCACAGTTTTCGTACATTGCAAAGGCAAAATTGTTTGTTGAAACAAGGTTTCTACGCTCCTATATAAACATATCATTTTCTAAAGCAGTTCTGTCTATAGCACCCTGCCAGACTGGTACTGGGCCTGAAGGCTGAATGATGAATCAGTGATATGCTCGCATGAGGCAAAAAACACGGGGCACGCCTTCTAAATCATGAATTGTTGCCGTGCCAACCTGCAAATGCAACGTGTTTAACTCACAGCTTGATTAACTCACAGGCACACTCAAATTATACCGTGCCTGAATATACTACTTGGATTTAGCCTGTACCTACTGTGAAGGATTTCAGGAATGAGGGCAGATCCCATCTTGTGATTATTGATTAACACTTGCAACTGCGCTAGTCTCGCGGCAACTGATTACGCCTGGTTTAAATTAGATTTTATTCTGCATGTAACTTGTCAGCATATAATATATAATATTTACATTCATCTTCGAATCTTAACCATATATCATGTAGGTCTATGGCCGTCGCGTACCATTAACCAGTTATTGGCGACGATAAGCGTTACCATAGAATAATTAAGGGTGGCGGGGCAGGGGCGGGGGAGGGGCGGAATTGAGGGGCAGTGAAAGGCATCATCGCTGGGTTTTAATTTTTTTATGATAATTAAGAGAGAAGAGAGAAAGTCTAGAGATAAAGAGGAGAAAGAGAGAGTATAAATTGAAGATACGGGGACAGGAAAACGGATGATTACGGTGTGTATCAGCCGAAACGGGGTACAATTAGGTCGTGCGAATGGTGTGCAAGGGGAATGGGAGGGTGGGAGACGGGGGAGGGAGGTCGAAGGCAAGGGGAGGGAGATGGAGTAAGGGGGTGAAGTGACGAGGCAAAGGGGACGTGAAGGTGGGAAGGAGGGGGAGAGAAGAGGAAGGGAGGTGGGACGCAGTGGGCGGAACATGTGGGGGAGAGCGACCCTGACCCCCTCTTAATGATATGGCGCCTCAGAACCATGCTCATAGTGTTGAATCTTTATAGATACGATAAAAAATAGATGAGCTGTGAATCTATGACACAATTCGAAGTGAGGCAAGCATCATTGTAATAAAATAAACCGATAAATCGCATGGGGGGAGAGATAGTGAGCGTGTCCTAACAATGATGGTACTGCCAACTGCGTATCTGCATATCTGCGCTTAACAAATGTGTCACTACGCACGACTGAAATTGTACGTTCATAACCGTAGCAACAGACCCCAGATGAGCCCAGACGCTCTGCGGCTCTTGTTATATTTCACAATAATGTGTTATGAATGCGAACACAAGTATGCATACACATAATACATGACAACTATACATATATACATTCACGGAATTCTGGAATTAGTATCGTTAATATTTTCTTATAGTTTCACAAGGATTGTATCGACAACTGGCTTCAGAATGAGAGAGGAGCTTGCCCTGTGGATGGTGAAGTACCTACTACTCATCATGCACCTCGTGTGCCTGCTAGGTAATTATATATATAAGAACAATTATATAGTTAACTGTTCGGTTTTATCTTCATCTTGGGAAAAAGTGCATGTACTCTCAAACCTATACATAACAGTGACATGAGAACCACCGAAAGTGTCTTTCATAGACGAGTATCTTTTCTATACTAGTTCGCAGTCATTTGAAATTTTTAGAGGAGAAAAGAGATCTAAACTTAGCATTCGATTTGAATTACTTAATTGATTTTTGTCATTGCATTAGATTGTTGTGAATCGGTATCCTTTAACAGTAATACTAATAGCCCCGAGAATTCAGCTTCTCCATATTTATATAGGTGCTCATCCTCCTCTGCTCATGCATATTACCAAACTATATTCACTGTGATTTGAGTTGGGTGACATAATAGCAAGTTATCTCTTTCTCTCTCTCTCTCTCTCTCTCTCTCTCTCTCTCTCTCTCTCACGCACGTGCACACGTGTGTGTACACACACAGATGATTGCACGCATTCACACATGCAACTACACACGTACGCACACATGCAACTACACACGTTCGCACACAGACACATGCACACGCACGCTCGTATAGACGCACGCATGCACGCTCGTATAGACGCACGCATGCACGCTCGTATAGACGCACGCATGCACGCTCGTATAGACGCACGCATGCACGCTCGTATAGAAGCACGGATCTCACTTACTCACAATAGTGAAGTAAAAAAAACACCTAATAGCGAATATTATTTTAGTCAGTTTTTGCATTCTAATTGCAGAATGTCTGAAAACTGTCAGCAGCCCCACAAACACAGAGGCACCCTGCAGACAACTCAACAGAACACACTCGCCCCATGTTTTACTGTCAGTGGATGTGCTATGACTCGACAGCTCAAGGACACCAGGTACAGATAGTTATGTGCAGTGATCTCGCAATGAATATTTGAACCACATCCGTTCATCGTATTTTTGATATTTTTCAAACAGCACTTGCAGTGCTTGTAGCTCAGTGATTAGTATGGCGATTTAACATATGTTCACGTAACGTTGTAAGGTTATGATTGCCTAACTTTTCCACAGGCAATAACCAAATCCCTAATCCTAACCCGCAAAATTAACGATAACTGCGAGTATGATTACCGTGTGATGCTCCCAAGCCATTAGGGTTGCTAGTATTTTCTTAAACTTTTCTGCTAACACTAGCCATAATGACAACTCTAAATCTCTCATCGTAATTCCTAACCCCATAGAAATGAATGCATTGGTACTCTGGGACCGTAGCAGTGTTGGTAGTTGTGTGTTTAACGCTAATTCCCCTGTACAAACCAGGTCGACACCTCGACACCTCCCCCGTCCCGAGGGTGGACTGTCATGGCCGACGATGCCAGGGAGCGATGCGGCGGGTGCAGACGCTCGGCACGCGGCCATGACACAGTCCGCCCCAGCGACCGTCGCCCATGACGACGTCTCCAAGCCTCGGCTCCCCGGCTCCTCCACGGCGACAGATCTCTCGGGTGTGAGGTTCAGTCGGTTCTGCTGGGGGGAGCGCGCAAGGGCTCGGGGCGTGAGCGGGGCCGGACGCGTGAGGAGGGGTCGCGCCGCCGTGCGCAGCGACGTGACAATGAGCGCCCCCTGTTGGGATGACGGGCTGGCAGACATGACGGTGTATGCATCGCGTGTCAGAGCGGACCACACAGACGTAACATGAGATAGCGATGGTGACCTCACAGACACTATATCACACATACATGAGGTATTATGAGAGATACAGGGACTACCAGAGATATATTTAGTGCCATCGTTAACACATATCGATAAAATGTGTTTGACACATATTTTCTATCAGAAGTAAATGTAATGGCTATTATCTACTCCTTGTTCTATACGTGTTATATTGAATACGCCTCTAAACAAAATTAAGTGTGTTCTATAGAACATGTTCTTTACCCATCTATGTTCATGTTGATACCGATGATTGGTCGACAGCGGAAGGGAGAAGTGAAGTGAGATGCTCACCTTATGTATGCATTATATCGTAGCATGCGTTAGTCACTTATTATTACTGTAAGGTCTGGACAGCATAATACTTCTTTAATACAGGATTTATCACTTATTACACTGTGGTTCTGAATCATATGTCATTAAAAACGGTCATCATTCCTTAGGAATGTATTAACCAATTAGTAGATTTTGTTGTAACCCTTGCGACCCAATTCATGATGTACTACATTGGGCTGCTTCATTCTCTGTAATCTTAAGTTATTGTCAACCCTAGACACAAAAACTGTAACAAACTGTACATGTTTAACATTTAATTATTTATTCTTGTATTATATATAATCAAACTATACATCAGAAATAAATTACAGATTTGTACAGCGATTTATCTTTTAATTCATTTTGTACAATAATTAGATGTAAAATATATTCACGGTGGTCCATTCACCATCATTAATTCTGAAATTCCAGATGTAGTCTATGCTACAAATAGGGTTACTACTACATATATATACAGATTAGTCCAGGAATGATGTTTCAGCCGTGTTGGGCTCAATTCGAAAAATGTAAATAAATTGTAAATTATTAATTACATGGTCACATGGTCAAATACAATAATCACAGTTATTTCTTTCATCATTGAATTCTCCTCACAACGTGGCAAGACTCCCCGATACACACATGTTGAATATGTACGCTTCAATGATAGCTAGGCTCTCACACTCGTTTTCTCACCAAAACATCTATGAATAATCGCGAATTCTTTGACACATGCTCTTGTTTGAGAATCTATATACAGAACAATCCTTTTTACATACAACACGCATATCATCAACTTTCAACAAATGTTTCATACCGTGTAAAATATATACGAATTAGAAACGAGACATTCTTCAAAGACGTTATCTATAAGGGACGCATAATAGTGTGCGACAACACTGTTAAGATTGAGATGATGAAACACCATATATAATCACCGCATTAAACATCAGCAACTCCTAATATCTGACACACTAGCCGATCTCTCAAATGAATATATGGTCTAAGTATGTATGCACATCTCTAATAGTTCCCGTAGCTTAGCTGTAAACGTAATTGCCTCGGTGCACCGGTATCTCTGTCATTCAGCCTACATCTCTGCCAATCCTACGGCTTTTAACTCTCAAGATGAACTTGTGTACTCAAAGAAACTATTTACTATACTATTAATCATGCATAAGATCACATGCTCATGTTAATGACTTAATGATCGTTTTATCCAATATGGAGCCATTGTAGTTAACAATGTATATCAAAATTAGATTAAAATCAATAAAGCTATTGTTGTTACAGAAATTCGATTGTCTTTGTCACACCTTTCAATCTATCACCTACAAAATGAAACAATGTTCCATCTACCTATCTGCCTGGTTTCATTTTCTTGTCTTGACATAAATTTTGAAGATGTTTCCATTAAAACTTCTCTCGCACATTTACGAAAAGGCAACAGATAAGTTTTACAACTAACTTGCGGGTTTGTGATTTAACGCGGTGAGTCTTCGTTGGCGTTTACAACCTAGCAACCTAGCACCTAGCCACCCACTATTTAGACGGGTCCCTATTCGTTTTTTTCACATACAAAAAAAGACTAGGAACAAGTCTAACAGCACTGTTTATCATAACAGAGCATGCTATTATTGGTCAATAATTTCTCGATTTATGTAAAGTGTAAAAGGTAATTGGGACCAGTAGTTTTTGGAATGGATCGATCGAGGAAATACCCCACTGCCACTGCCAGTCAACTTTTTTCTAACTAACACCTTATTGCTTGGCAAAATCACTAGGAACACATATCCACCTCAACACTCATCACGTGACAACGTACAGCAATCTAATACACTATCTGTATTTACAGGGAAGAAATATATTACTAAACCACGCTGTAGACCAGCGCCATGCACGCGTGCGTCAGCCTACGTGCATGTGGTTTGAACATGTGATATTGGCACCATCCGGGACTCCACGTCTGCCACTGTACATTCGTCGTGTGGACTGCCCACCACACCAAGCTGCGGTCATTCTGCCGCCTACGGCAAGCTGGACGATCTATTTATAACAGGGCTTCATGTTAGTGAGAAGGTTTTATGACCGACTCGTGGCAAGGGTTTGCACACACTCACGACGAGCTTACCCCGTTCTTACAAAATGCCTGTTTAAGGCCAAGGTTGCCTACCTGCTTATAGTAAAGCCTCGTGTTAATAACAATGTTGCCCGTACACTTCCAGTAAGTTTGTGTGCCAGGTAATGGCAAGTTTGGCTACCTCTCTTACGGCAAGTTTTGGCTACCTCTCTTATGGCAAGTTTGCCTGCCTCGCTCATGGCAAGATCTAGACTTCATGCTAACGGCAAGGTGTTCCTGCTCAGCTATCACACGGTGGACCTGCCTATTTATGACAAGGCTGCATGCAACTCCCAGTAAGATTGCCTCGTGAGTGTTATGGCAGGGTTTCCTGCTAACGACTCCCCCTCGCCATGACCCACCCATGCTGCCTCTGCCCCTGCCCACGCTCCCCCACCCTCACCCATGCTCACCCGCCCCTCCCATTACTTTCCCACCCCAATCCACGCTTCCCCTGCCCACACTTCTCCCGCCCCTGTCCGCACTTCCCGGCCCCTGTACGCACTTCCCCCATCTACCTATTCTCCCCCCGCCCCACCCGCTCCTCTCGTCCCTACTACCGTTTGCCGACGATGTTCCAAAACTCGGTGAGGAATAACTCGACGATGTGGTTCTGGTGTATGAGCTCGATGGCTAGCGCGCTCGACGGTCCCTCCTCCTGATGGCGCAGCAGCGTGGGGCCGAACACGATCGCCAGGTTGTGCGCGTGCATGCGGTTCATCTCACTGCTCTCCATAACGCTGCAATGCAACACGACATGCGTGAGACGAGATCAGAACATGATTTAAGGGATGCGCAAACGATGCAAAGAAACGATGCACAAACGAAAGCACAAACGATGCAAAGATACGGGGTACATCTCACTGTTCTACATCATGCTGTATACTGCTACATCAACACAATATCAGAACACATACAAGACGCAAATATACGGATACATCTCACTGTTCTACACCACAAGGGACAAGGGAATGCAAGACGCGATAGAAGAATGCAGAATGTGACGAACCGCTTGCTTAATGAGACATACCGTAGACAATCTGTGAGGAAGTGACCAGGTAGCCCCCTGGTGGTGGACTAGCACACTGAGATTTAACTGCGCCACCCAATTTTTGCACAGCTGAAAATTCTGCCTGTCATCTCAAAAGGTTGCGAATGGTTTACGTTTGCAGTGACTGATACATATATACAAATGCACGCACGTACGCATGCATGCACGCACGTATGCATGCATGCACGCACGCACGCACGCACCCAACCACACTTAAACATAAGTATATGTACCTTAAGAGGTGCATGAATAGAAACTTGAGTGTGTCTGCATGTGGCCTGGGCATCTTGTCCAGCAACTCTCTAAAAGTAGCGACCGTGGCACGACTCTTCTGCTCTGTAAATAACAAACAAGTGTTGATGGCAAGGCAACAAATTGCAATGCAGCAAATGATAAAGCAAAAATTTGCTACAAGCTGCCACGGGACATGACTCCACCGTCCACGTACAGCCCGAGACGAGCCGCCACGAGACGAAATGCTCTCGTTAATTATAATAGCACTGCACGACACGACGTTGCGCAAAAACACCCCCACCCCGCCCCCTCGCGCGCGTGCCCCGCTTACTGATGGCATCCAGGAACGGATCGTACGTGTCAAACGGGAACAGTGACTCCTTGAGCTCGCGGAAGAACAGCTTGAGCGCACCCGTCAGCACGTGGATGTCCTCTTTGCTCCAGTCGACGTTTGTGAGCCCCTGGTCGGCTTGCATGCGCACCTTCTGCACCTGCGCGAGGTTGCCGCTCATGCGGTACAGCCCGTCCGTATCGAGACCTGCAAGGAGACGCCGGGAAGTGAGACGTGTGTACGTGCGGGGATGTTGGGAAGTGAGACAGACGTATGGGACGTCGGGAAGCGAGACAGACGTATGGGACGTCGGGAAGCGAGACAGACGTATGGGACGTTGCGAAGCGAGACAGACGTAAGGAATGTTGGGAAGCGAGACAGACGTACGGGACGTCGGGAAGCGAGACAGACGTACGGGACGTCGGGAAGCGAAACAAATGTACGGGACATCGGGAAGCGAGACGGACGTACGGGACGTCGGGAAGCGAGACGGACGTACGGGACGTCGGGAAGCGAGACGGACGTACGGGATGTCGGGAACCGAGACGTAGATGTGGGGATACAGGGCAGTCATAGATTTCATGAAGAAGCAGCATAAGGTGCAGCTCGGCCGTCACAAGCCCTGCAAGGAGATGTTGAGAGGTCAGATGTATTGCGAAGAGGACATCTGTGTGCATTTGTTGACTGTAAGATGCACAGCAGGGAATGTTGGAAGTGATCATGAGATGTACATGTGCAAATGTTGGGAATTGAGAAAATGCACGCACGGATGCTGGGCGTTTGGACATACATGCACAGTGACCACCGTTCTTGGGCACACAGTAGTCACTAAGTGTGGGCATTTTATGAATGACAACATCTAACAAAAGCATGGTCAATGAAGCATTACTGCCGACAAACATGACAGCTGCCTCAATACCCACGCCGAGCCTCATTCTCTTCATCCACTCTCTTCACGCCGTGCATCTCGATTCTATTCTCGCTTTCTAACGATCGTCCCCCCCCCAAATAAAACCCATGTCGTCTCAAGAAGACCATTGCTTAGGGAAAAGTCTCGCACCCACGCGCGCGCAACTCACCTCTGTCCTCGATCTCTGCGACACATCGCTTGATGAAGTTCGGCACGGTGGTGTGGTCTCGCTCGCACAGGTGCTGCAGTGAGCTACCGAAGCATTCCTCGTCTGCAAGCATGGAGCATGCGAGACGGTCATGGCCATGCACGTATATAATGGGCACTCATATAGCTATGTTACTATTACTATTACTTACTATTCACTGTGAAAGCAGCTGCGTGGCCTCGGGTTAAGGAAACGGAGATAGGCACCGCCCTATGTGCCACATAGGCGCGGGAAGGATTTAACTTAACATATAGCTATGAGAGGATTGTATTTGAATATCTCGGCATTCTAGGTCACAGACAAAGTGAGGTGGCCACAGACATGTAATATAGCAGTGTTGCAAATAGCAACCCACCCCCAGTCCGTGACTGCTAACCATTCCGCAGGACTGGCTACTTTTTATGGATTTTACTATAGGTTATATAAGAAAAATCGAAATTTTCGAAATCAGGACAGGCGGGGTTTTCAGACTCACTCTTCCAAGACTGAATATATGTACACACACATGCACGCACGCACGCACGCACGCATATACGCTCGCTCGCACATACGCACGCAAACACACACACGCATGCATACAGGCACGCACGCACGCACGCACGCACGCACGCACGCACGCACGCACGCACGCACGCACGCACGCATATGCACAACCACACAAACATAGAAGGGGAACCACTCCAGATCCAGACTATTCTGGAAGGGGAACTACTCCAAATGGAGACTATTCCAGAACGGAAACCCCTCCGGATCCGGACCACTCCGAAACAGAGAAAACCGGAGTCGGTACGCCCGCGCCGCTGCTCACCCTTCATGATGCCCTTCTCCTCGAGGGTCTTCGCGGCGGGTCGCCGCTGGAAGAACTGCCACAGCCGGTGCTTGATGCGCTGATTACGCTCGGTGGGAGACAGCACCTTGTCTAGGTCATCTGACGACTCGCTCTGCTTCAGATGCGGCTCCTGGTTCTGTGCCGCCGTGTGTCGCTGCTTGTCTGTGAGAGAGCGAGAGAGATAGTGAGCTTTACGACGAGTCTGTGTTGCTGACAGGGGGTGAGAGAGAGAAGGAGAAAGAAGCGAGAGCTGGAGAGAGAGAGAGAGAGAGAGAGAGAGAGAGAGAGAGAGAGAGAGAGAGAGAGAGAGAGAGAGAGAGAGAGAGAGAGAGAGAGAGAGAGAGAGAGAGAGAGAGAGGGAGAGGAGAGAGAGAGAGAGGAGAGAGGGAAAGAGGTAGAGAAAGGCAAAACATTAAGTTGTGTCAATTTGTTTATTTAGAGGCCAGTTTCATTCTCCTGCTTACCTCGCACTACACAACCACGCACACCTGCATCCTGATTGCCAGCAAACACATCATTGTTAGCTTCATCCCAGTTAAGTAAGGTGAAGCCCAACACCTCAGTTTCACCTGCATGATACCCATGTGTCACTGAACCCCACCTCTTCTCCTCCTCTCGGCGATACTTTGTCGAAGGGAGAGACCCGTCTAGCACATCAACATTGCCTCGTGAGGACAGAAGAGGGTTCTCTAGTGCGTCGATGTTGCTTTTTGTCACAGGGAGAGCATCCTCTAGCACGTCAACGTGACCCTGCGCCCGGGAAGCAGCGCCCTCCACTGAGTTGATGCGGCCACGCGAGGATTGCCCGCGGAGTTCAGCAAATACCTGTTCCATCATGCGCTGGGGGGAGGTAGGGGGCAGCATGCGAGGGTCAGCATCCATGACATGTCGCTCCTCCGCGCTGGCCCGCCGTGGCTCTGCAGCATCACTCCCCGTCTTCTTCCTGCTTGGCTTCGTGAAGCTCTGAGCCTTCTTTGCCTTCTCTTCAACCTTCCCCTTCGCCAATCCGTTCACTGCCTTCTCTTTTATTGAACCACTCTTTGCCTTCTCCTTCACCGACCCACTCTTTGTCTTCTCTTTTACCAACCCACTCTTTGCCTTCTCTTTTACCGACCCACTCTTGCCCTTCTCTCGCATAGACCCACTACTTGCCTTCTCTTTTACAAACCCGCTCTTTGGCTTCTCCTTTGACCCACTCTTGCCATCCGCCAGGCTGCATCGTGCATGCTTCTGCGCAGCCTCCATGGTGGCGCCACCGCTTTCGCTCTCCGCATCGGCAGTGTGATAAGGATTTCCTTTCTTGAGGATGAGACCAAGCTCCTTCTCCAGCCTCTGCTGCTGCACACTGCCCGCCCGCCTGGGTAGCCTACGCGCTTCATCTGCCGGCACCGCAAGATTCTTATCGTCGGTCTGGTGTGACACTTCTTCCTCATCCTTCTGTTTTAAGTCGGCAATGTGGCAGTGCAGGCGGCCGACGTGGTAGGCTAGCAGACTTGCATCGCTGTCACATGGCACGCTCACAAATTCCATCGAGGAATGCATCCGTACGAGCGATGTCGGCAACACGCTACTCTACTAGATCTAGTGTCGACAATCGAGACTGTTGAATGATGACGTTCAGGTTCGTGGAACTCGCGTTACAACTAACATGAGACACTTGGATCTAATACAGGAAATCTAATCGCTCGACGACATTAAAATTGTTGGAGCGTCAAGGGATACGGTGTATCTACTAAGAAAGCGCCAATCGTAGGTTGTGCAGCCGATGGGACACACGAGGACTGGTGCCATTTTGTGTTTCAGAACAGGAAAGTTCGAATTTGACGAGCATCCTGCAAGTACGCATGCAACCAATGGGGAGGTGAGCAGACACGTGGCACATCCTGTGTTTACAGCGCATAGTGCCCCGGGACAGATTCATGTGGTGAATAGTAATGAGCATTTTTTCCCGTACATATATATGCCGGGTTGCGATTTCCTCTTGCTCACCAGCAGGAAATTGGCACGCAATGCGGGAAGATTTGGGTACTGTTATTGTAAACATTGCAATGCGAGTTCACCTAGAAATGATGAAGTAGATCCAAACTTGTGTGGTAAACTGTACAACCTTTAATATCTTACACACATCACATCTCCTTACACACAGAGAAAGACCCGCGCACACGCGCGGTCGCGCGTGCGCGTACTCTCGCGACCAGAACCAGAATCCTCCTACTACTCTTACATCTCTCTCTATATATTCCCCCAAAACTCCTACAAACCACATACACCACGCACATTTACCCGTTCTCCCAGACCGCGTCCTACCCCCATTTCACAATGACCCTAGAAACTGCCTAACCTAAAACCCGCTTATCCAACTCCCTGTAACATCAATGCAGCCGCCCAATATGCGCGACGCTGCGTCTACGCAGACTAACTGGTCACCAAACAACCCTAGACTACTCCATGTCCTCGCTGACTACTTCATGTAACACGTGCAAAACACATGTTACATTATTACTATGATTTCCACATTGAATACCGGCAATGTTGAGTCGCACAAACACATTCACTCATGATCACACGCCACATATTGTGCAGTCATGCACAACAAATGAAGTGGGGGAAAGTCTAAAGTGTGGGGATTGGGTAGAAGTCTCGCGTCATTTAGTATTACTGTAAAAGTAGTGTGCAGGGAAGCATAATCTGACCTTCTCAAAATAAATGGACTTTGTACAGCTGGGACTTACACTTAGAGAACTTCCTGCTCAGTATATTGCCTTCTACTGGTAGATGGAGTTGTGTAGGAGAGGTACCTTCACCCTTGTCAGGGGTTCCAGGCTGCAAATAAAAATAATATATATTTAAAGATAATGACATATCGAGGTGCACGTACACACTTATTACAGAATTATGCAGAAATGTAACTCCTACCAGTATTCTGTTGCTGGTGCTCACAGGAATATGTACACACATACACGCACACATGCATCCCCTTTCACATGCAAACATGCCAGCACACGTATCAACTTCATACGCAAGGTAAGCACGCACACACACGCACGCACGCACACGCGCTCGCATGCCTGACCGCTCATCCACCAACCTGCCCGCACGCACGCCCGCCCGTACGCATGCCCGCACACCCGCCCCTACGCACGCACGCCCGTACGCATACACGCACGCACGCACGCCCGTACGCACGCCCGCCCGCCCCTACGCCTGCACGCACGCACGCCCGCCCGTATGCCTGCACGCACGCACGCCTGCACACACGCACGCCCGTACGCATACACGCACGCACGCCCGTACGCATACACGCACGCACGCCCGTACGCATACGCGCACGCCCGCCCGTACGCATGCACGCATGCACGCCCGTACGCACGCCCGCCCATACGCATGCCCGAACGCCCGCCCGTACGCATACACGCACGCACGCCTGTACGCATACACGCACGCCCGCCCGTACGCATGCCCGAACGCCCGCCCGTACGCATACACGCACGCCCGCCCGTACGCGTGCCCGAACGCCCGCCCGTACGCCTGCACGCACGCACGCCCGTACGCATACACACACGCACGCCCGTACGCATACACGCACGCACGCCCGTACGCATACGCGCACGCCAGCCCGTACGCATGCACGCATGCACGCCCGTACGCACGCCCGCCCGTACGCATGCCCGAACGCCCGCCCGTACGCATACACGCACGCACGCCCGTACGCATGCCCGAACGCCCGCCCGTACGCCTGCACGCACGCACGCCCGTACGCACGCACGCCCGAACGCACGCCCGCCCGTACGCACACACACACGCACGCACGCCCGTACGCATACACGCACGCACGCCCGTACGCATACACGCACGCACGCCCGTACGCATACACGCACGCACGCCCGTACGCATACGCGCACGCCCGCCGTATGCACTCCCGTACGCACGCACGCACGCACGCACGCACGCACGCACGCACGACCG